AAACCACTCTCATTGCCATAAGCTGAACTCCTCTTGAAAAGAGCCCTCGGGCCATGGAGCGTCAGCATTCTTGCTTATAACAGCACCTTCGCACTCCGCGTGCTGCCCCTCAATCATCTTCGGCTCTACTTTGAAGGTCTTAAGCCACAATCCGAAGTGAGGAGTAATATGGAGGAAGGCCTCGCACACGACAATGAACGATGAGATATGGAGGATGGACTCCGGAGCTAAGTCGTGAAATTCCAGCCCGTAGTAAAACATGAGCCCCCTCGCGAAGGGGTCCGTCGGGAAGCCTAGCCCCCGAAGGAAGTGAGACGCGAACACCATGCTCTCACCATGCTTGGGAGTGGGAATAACCTGCCCTTGAGCAGGCAGCCTATGCGAGATTTCGTCGGTTAGATACCTGGCATCTCTTAGCTTTAGCACGTCTTCTTCCGTAACGGAGGAAGGCATCCACCGGCCTTGAAGGTCGAAGCTGGACATCATCGGAGGTCTGAAGCGCCTGAATCTGGAGCTTTGGGTGTTGGAACTCAAGGTGAGAGGCGGATTCGATTAAGATTGAAAGAAAGGAGTCGAGCCTTGGTCTCTTTATAAAGAGGTTGAATACCAAGAGCCCTTCCCGTGACCGTTTGGGACTCGCCTTCGATTGAGGAGACATACCAACAGACACGATTGGGTTACCCACGCCCGTATTGATGAGAATCTCGGAATAAGGGGACACGATCTCTGCTTCGACAAGACGTGCCAAAAAAACCGCCTCGCTAAACGCGCTGAGGTGGGACAGTAAAACGATTCGAATAAAGGCTTAGCCATGGCGTGATGTCATGCTGCGGAATATGTCAGCAGATTAGATTTGTGCAAATATTATTCTCTCTACGGTGGTATGTGGAACTTATTTTGTAGAGCCGGACGGACACTATCCTTGTGTTCAAAATCTTCTATGAAGTATTCGGAGGAGGAACCCGCCTTGCAATGCCGAAGACAATCTGCGCGCCAGACTCGTCGTCATTGAAGCCTGGTTCAGGGGCTACTGAGGGAGTCCTGGATTAGGGGGTGTCCGGATAGCCGGACTATAACTCCTGGACTATGAAGATACAAGATTGAAGACTTTGTCCCGTGTCTGGATGGGACTTTCCTTGGCATGGAAGGCAAGCTTGGCGATACGGATATGTAGATCTCCTCCCATTATAACCGACTCTGTGTAACCCTAGCCCTCTCCGGTGTCTATAAAAACCAGAGGGTTTTAGTCCGTAGGACGAACAACAATCATACCATAGGCTAGCTTCTAGGGTTTAGCCTCCTTGATCTCGTGGTAGATCTACTCTTGTACTACCCATATCATCAATATTAATCAAGCAGGAGTAGGGTTTTACCTCCATCGAGAGGGCCCGAACCTGGGTAAAAACATCGTGTCCCTTGTCTCCTGTTACCATCCGCCTAGACGCACAGTTCGGGACCCCCTACCCGAGATCCGCCGGTTTTGATACCGACACCTGGGAACGCTCGAATCGGCAGTTTCTCCAGAGCTAGGCCCGAGCGGTGCACGTGGGCGGCGGCGGCTGCACGCACGCGGCCACGCTCGAGAAGTCGCGCTGCTTCCCGAAGCACCGACAGATATTAGCCTCAATGCTCCCTCTCCCCACTCTCCCAACTCTCACCAGCGGCAGCGGATCAGAGGAGAGCAAGAAGACCACCGGACTCCATCACGGGCGAGCAGATCATTACCTGGCCCGCGACAATGGCGGTAAGCACTTTTTTGTTCGTCATGCAATACTTTTTCACGTTCGATCCGGTGATAGATTCGATCCATGGCGGAGAGGGGAATGGAGAATAGAGGTAGATAAGCATGGCAATTCATACTAGTTCATACGAGTTCATACTAGTTCATGCAAGATCAGAATAGAGGTAGATGCGGATGGAGTAGAAGGGGGATTGGGGATACACAATAGACACAGGCTAACCACGGTGGGCTTTGAGGCGTGCAGAGCAGCGGGTCGAGTGGTTGGCCTTCATCTTCTTGTCCATCGCCGTGCGGGGCGGCGGGTCGTCGTCGTCCTCGGCGGAGTCGAGGTCGATCTGCCAGGTACGATGGCCTGGCTCCGGGGTCCTCACTGGCATCTGCACCGGTTCTTCCTCCTCCTTAGGCTCCCCAGCAATGACCGCCGGCGGCACGATTGTCGTCTCCCAGTACACTGCGGCATGGCAGTCATTAGGAGCCCAGTAGTTCTTGTACTTGGACCACCTCTTCCTCTGTTTAGCGTCGTTGGAGACGACCTGATTCATGGCCCAACGAATGATGTCGACTGCCATCACGCCCTTCGCTGGGTTAGGAATCAGTGTCTTCAACTCTTGTGCAGTGGCCCTCATGAGCATTGCATCAGATTCCTTCTGCATGTCAGGCATGGAGCCGAAGTTCGAGCACACCTCCATGGTGTTCTCGAACTTGGTGCGATCACCAAAACCGACCACCCGAGGAGAAGGCCCTCCAGCCAATACCCCAAGGGAAGGGGTTGGCATTGGAGCTAGAGCTAGAGCTCATGGCGATGGAGAGGAGGAAGATTGATAGTCATAGAAGAGAGGGGGTGGGTAAGTAGTGGTGGTCAGGGTGAGTAAATATAGGCACGATGGAGAGGAGGAAGAGTGATAGTCATGCCGTTTTAACTACATGCTCTTCAATAAGCCATGAACTCGGTGCTGTGCCTGACTCCATGAGTTGTGTGCAGATCAAGGAGAGCAATGAGATGGGCACGGAGGTGCTCCCGGCCGTTGACAAGAAGGGCAAGGGGCGGTTCATCCAATGTCAGAGGTGGTGCCGCCGCCCATCGCCGAGGAAGAACCGAAGACGCCAACGGTTGGCGACGATGAGCGCATGGAGGAGCCCCCAGCAGCAAGCGCCACAACTGCGACCACTACCATGAGGATGGTGGCCCAACTCAGTTCTGCAAGGTCATCCTCGCACCGAAGCTTGAGTGCATCCCCATGCCCCTGGACTTCACCAAGCACTTCGCCGCGGTGCCGACGGAGTTCAAGCTGAGGAACAACACCGACTACTCTTGAAGGGTGACAGTGAAGCTGATGAACGACAGGGTGACCCTGGATCAGGGTTGGGCCACCTTCCCCGCCGTTCATCAGATCAAGATCGGCTACATGGTGATGTTCAAGCTCCTAACTCCCGACACCCTCAAGGTCATCATCTTCGACGACGATGGCATTGAGGTGGTCAGCAAGTGCGGGAAGCATGACGAAGCCTTCGCCGCCAGGGACTAGGGCTGGGGCACCTCCTTCCTAAGTACTATCGAGTCTGCTTTATGGTTTATGCGTTGAACTGTTTGAACTATCGTTATGATGTGTGGTACTATCGTTATGTTATTTGAATCATGCTGTTAAGTAGTTGATGTTCTGTTTATACTCTGCTCTGCTTATGATGTGTGATACATGGTTGTGCTAAAGTGTGCTGGTAACCTCACCAACAAGCCAAAGAGGTTACCACACACCAGGCGTTGCATACAACCAAACACCATGCCTTGGGTTTGTCCACTAACATGTAGGCAACCAAACACCAGGCAGTGTGGTTCAGCCCATGCAGGTAAGAGGCATGCTGGCAACCAAACAATTTGCAGATGATACATTTGAGGCTGCATTTGCATAACAAGGCTGAGTGGAAAAGGCTATGCAATGCAGCTATTGTAGACTACGACAACCAAACACGCCCTTGATGCAAAGTAGGCGGGAGCAGAAAACAATTTGTAGATTTTTTGGATTTGGCTCAGAACTGAATCATGGTTTCCTTTGGGATATTAATTCGGTTTTTTGGGGGCCCAAGTTTAGGATAAGAGCATCTCTAGCAGACCCCACAAAAGCGGTCAAACCTGCAAAAATCCGCGTTTGCATTTTTGTGGTGTCAAAAAACGTCCCGAATAGAACCCGCAAAAGCGGTCAAATCCGTAAAAAATTTACAGGCCGCTGGGAATTTACCCTACGACCCTTAATTTTGCAGATTCGGAGGCAAAATATAAAGGGAACTGCAAACCGGTCAACGCTACGCGACAAGGAAGTTCCGCCATGCGCACACGTGCTCTGGCGACCTTCCGCCACGGAACTCGCCGGAATCTTGCTGCCGCGGCGTCGGCTTGCGGAGTAGATCGCAGGAGCAATGGCTGAAGACTCGAGCAGCTACCCGGCCACGAACGAGCTAGCTAGCAAGCTCCTAATCCATCCTGCCATGAACGAGCTAGCTAGCAAGGTCCTCGATCGATCCGGCCACGAACGTTGAGGGAGTAGCTAGCAAGCTCCTCGATCCAGCCGGCTATGGAATGGCTAGCTAGCTCCTGGATCCATCCGGCAACGGAGGAGCTGCCTCCTGGATCGATTCAACGACTACCATGGATGACGGGAGCTGACTATAAACACAGGCGAGAGGAAGAAGAAGACACAAGAAAGAATATACACAAATATTCTTTTTTACGGGTCCGTTATACGGGGTCTGCATCTGCATCCGTCCGCGCCTGCCCGCAAAGCCGTTTTTTCGCGAACTGCAAACGTGTTTTGCGGGTCGGCGGGATGCGGGGTCTGCTAGAGATGCTCTAAGGAGGTTGGCGATGTACTAGTTCTAGACGCCGAAAACCAGCGACTGTATGTTTCGTCATGCAGGAACAGGGAGCGAACGTTCGCCCTATATTCGCATCCAAAACTTATACTAGCTTCTACTCACTCCGTTTCAAAATAGATGACCCAACTTTGTAACCGTTCCAAAATAGATGACCCGACTTTGTACTAGGGTAATACAAAGTCGGGTCATCTATTTTGGAACGTAGGGAGTATCATTTTTATGATTGTTTTTACAGCACCCTTAATCTGTGACGTGGACGATGGGATGCGGCCGATCCGATCGATCTGACCCGTTGGTTTGAAAATGCTGCAGGAAGTGACCGGACCCCTTGGCGCATGTGCATCAGAGAGTACAGTACAGTGAGTAAACAAATTCAGAGCCCTGAATCCAAATGGAGGCGCGGCGTGGCTCAGCTGGCCCTGCTTGTCCTGTTTCTCGCGGCCGCCTACTTGTAATCCGCCCGCTGCCAGCCAAATCGCTAGCTCACTCCCTCCCTCCCTCCCTCCCTCGTCCGTCCGCCTCCGGCAGATCCTCCTCCTGCTCCTCCATACCGCCCGAAGCTCCGTCCTCCTCCTCCCGACACTTCGAGATCTCCGCCCCGGACCCGTTTCTTCCCCACCAAGGTCGGCGGCCTCGCTCGATCCCGCCCTGCTCGATTTCGATCCGGAGCAGCGAGTCTGAACCTCGCAAATTTTCTTGTTTTGTTTCGGGCAGGCCCAGCGCAGCCGCCCGGCCGGCCCTCCCTGCTGCAGCCGCCGCCGCCATGTCCAAGTCGGGAGCCCTGGATCTCGCGTCGGGCCTTGGCGGGAAGATCGACAAGGAACAAGTCAAATCCGCGGTCGATGAGTACGTCTCTCTCTCTCTCTCTCCCTCCCTTGCCGTTGGCGTGATCCATTCCAGCAAAACTTCTTTTAATATTCCCCGGCGCTCGATGATGTTTTCTCTTTTTGAAATAAACAAGACACTCCCTGTGTGCCACGGACTT